ACTGATCCAAGTGTTGCCATGAAGGACCTGAGCTTTCCACCTTCCCTCTCACTGATCCAAGTGTTGTCATGAAGGGCCTGGGCTTCTATCTTACTCAGTAGTAATAATCTTTCAAACTTTAAATATACGAATTAATAAATGTTCAAGATCTGACATTGACACGATGTGTATGTCAACACTTACCCTGTACGATCTATCAAGAAGACAGAAAAGAATGAAGTCATAATATCGTGGCTGGAACAATTCTCCAACACCCCGCACTTAGGAAATGAACCTAAAGATGACGTTTCAGTCCATCCTTAGCCATTGTCAGGTCACAACTTCATTAGCTTCCTTTCCAGGTGCGGGTTTTTGGTGAAGACAGTAAGTGAATGACATGTACAAACCTACAGGGATGAAAGAACAACAGAGCAGAGAAGGAGATAAGGTCATGGATTAGAATGATTTGGCTGACAGTTAATGCTGACATTTTCGACAAAGTGAGTTCGCAGAACAAATCTTCGTTCTGCCGACGTTGGTAAAGCTCAAACTCTGTTAAACTTCTGAATGAATCCCAGCTCTAACAACTTTTTCTTTACTATGTAGATCAGACACGAGAGACCAAGAAGACACATGTATGAGGATGATCACTCTATATACGCTCATATGACACAAATCATTCCTTAATATGTTGAAGATTACAGTTGTTTGCTCTGAGTGACGCAGTATTTCTCTTAACCTTTGTTATTGTTTTTAACAAAATTGGATACACCAGCAGTGCGCTGCTACGCTATTGTATATAAGTTACATTGTAGGAACAAAAGCTAGCTATGTTTCCATGTCACATTCCATTACGCAGAATAAGGCTCGTACAAGGTACTGAAGTATATTAGCCTGAGCTGGGAGACGAGAGCTGATACGCAAGAGTTATCAGTTAGTGACGTAGGGTAATGCTTCGATGTTGGTGCTGTTGATCCTAGAAATTGGAGCTACCCTCTTCTTCGGAGCAAACCTGATTACTTCTCATTTCCTAGGTGCTGTATGACCCCCCACTATAAATATTTATACTTCTGCGTCTTTTTTTTTATGCCATTGATCAATGTTTGTTACATGTTTATCTTCAGAATTGTTGATTCTGGGTGTCATTGCTCCCACGGCCCGGTCCTAGACCAGGCCTCCTGGTTAATGACCTAACCAACCAGGCTGTTGGTGCTGTCCGCAACGTATGCACCACAGCACGGCTGATAAGAAGCTAAATTAAGGAACTTAATGTCCTCTTATAGGCAGCTATTACCAACAGACCCCTGACTGTGCTTCTGTAACTAACAAATACTAAGAACGGGAGAACATATCTCTGTTTCTGTAGCTACAAGCCCCACAGCTGTAACTCTGCGCTTTCACCTGTAAATGTTACCACAAATCAGTAATCTCTCGCAAGGTATTATGGGGCACGTCATTTCCCCTGTCTTCTAATATATTATTTTTTCCTTGTAATCTACCTTGTCCTTAATTACTATCGCATTTGCTTTGCTTTTGTAAAGTGAAGTCTTGGATGTTTCCTTAATTCATGGTATAACTTCGAGGACAATTGTGTTGCAGAGGTGTGAGCAAAGCTCACACCTCTGCAACGCAATTGTCCTCAAAGATTTGTTAAGTTATATCATGAATTAAGGAAAGATCCTGGACTTTACCTTACGAAAGCAAACAAAGCAAATGCGATAGTAATTAAGGACAAGGTAGATTATAGAAGAAAAATATGATATTAGGAGATAGGGAAACACATGCGCCTCTTAAGGCTGGGGAAGTAAAGGAAACATTTACTCTGGAGGAGGAAAAAATACGTGTATGATGATGAAGACAACAAATAAGGGGATAATGAAGACAAAGCAATATGAATATATAGACAGACATACACGTACCAAAGACACGTACGTCGGTGCTATCTTTCAGTGTAGCCGAACTAGAAGATACACAAGACAAGGAGATGAGAGGAACGTGAGACGAGAAACATGTTGACGGCCTTTGGAGTGAAGCAGGAGACTTAAGAATGTAAATTTTATGAGACTGTGGAGGCTTGTGAGGAGCGAAGTGTTCTCTGTAAATAGCATTTAGCAAGTTGTTTGCATGAAGTTAGACACAAGGTGCAAAACAAGTATATAAATTCTTGTTTTGCAACTGAATAGTTTTGTCAGTTTTTTCTGCAACTTGTCTTTCTCTTCGTATCTCTCACCAATAAGCCATTTACTCCAAGATGTTTACAAAAGGATACTTGTAGTTGATCTGTAGACCATTCCGGGGCTCAGTGGCACCGGGATCCGGCCCCGGACCGGGCTAGGCCTCCCGGTTTAAAGACTGATAAACCAGGCTGGTGGTACTAGCCGCACGCAGTCGAGCGCATGCATCACCACATGCCTGATCAGGAAGTGACTTAAGTAATGTATCAGGTTCAGTATTGAAGACGGCTAGAGGGGGTTGTGTTGATAATATCACTTATTCATGGAGGTAGGATGTTGAAAATTATGGCGCATTCACTCTGAGTTACTCAGTGTACTCACAGCACTCATGCTGTATATTTGGGGTATTTTGCATCTGCTGCTGAGCTTATTGCTTCCGCAGGGAGTACTTTTGGCCTGCAGGTTTATGATCAACCCCTGCGGAATTTTCCAGGTGTAAATTATGATTTATCTTTCTCTTCT